TGCTTTAGAGAAGTGCCTTTTAACATTAAGCATAGTTTTAAAAATCAATAAATTATTTATTAAACTTATAAATGCTTTTTCCCACCATAAATTTCCTTTAGTGTAGGCTCCAATAGTAATAAATTATTTATTTATGATTTGTTCAAAGTCTCTGAAATCGTGTCACTTTTCTATCTTCTGAGTATAATAAGGTAGTTTATTGCCACAATTATTTTTAAGTTCTTTTGCTAAATCCTGCTTCTGGTTATATTTATTCAACCTAAAAGTTTTCAAAACCAAACAAAGGTAAGAATGAGATGGAGAAAATTTTTATTTCCACAATCTGTTCTTCCTTGATGAAGTAGATTAATTAATGTTTAGTAATTGGAAAGTGTGGTTAAAAATATCATTGCTAGGAAATACAAATAAAGAATAATGCAAAATAATGCATACAAGACACTAACTAATGCAGAATAATACAGAGAAGAAATAATAATGCAGAAAAGAAATAATGAAGAAAAGAAATCGGTAAAAACGATATAGTAAAATAGCAAAAAACAAAACAGTGAAACAACAAAATAATTGATTCCTGATTAAAATGCAGATGGTGGTGGATTGTTCAGTTTTCTAGAAATGATATAGATACTTAATAAATTACAAAGTATTTGCAATAAAGAAATGTCATCTCAGGTCATCTTTTGTAAAGAATGATCTCATGTTGAACCCTCTGAATCAGAATTTTGCATTAAAGTCGGTGTATTCATATTGTCATGATTCTGTCATGCAATCATTCTAGTCAACTAAACAACACCAAAGTCACCAAAGAGTAGAGTCAATTTACATGAACGTAGAGACACTGTGAATACTGTATTGCTGTGAGTCAGACTTTTTGGATGTTATCTTTATGTTCCAGTTGTTCTCTTTTATCATAGAAAAAAATATTAGAGAACTTGTAACTAGGTCTGGTTTGACAGATCTAAATGACCATTCTCCACATCCTTTTACGTATGCTCTTTGTCAGATAACTAACGTGGCTTGTATAAAACCAAGAATTCAAGTCAAAATCAATGGATTTTGCAATCTGCCATTCAATTTGTAAATACGCAAATTAATGAGGTAAATTTCAATGACTTCCAATATTAACTTCTTATTATTGGGCCCTATAAATCTAACTTAAGGGAGTTTACTACAGTCAATAAATTTGGCGTCTCATCTAGCATATCCTAAATGAAATCATGTAAAGAAGTAACTTTTCCTTAATATTCAGAAATGGAGAATATTGTGTTTTTAAGCACAATTCATCTGACTAGACCGCACAGTGGGGAAAGCTAACTTATCTACAATGCATTAGATAAAACAGAGGCTCTCAGGTGAAGGGCCCCATGGAGAACACAACAGGACCTAGCAGAACTTGATATGAGAGGCTGACACTCCAGCCCAGATAACATTCACGCTCGGTCGCTGCAAAGAAACAGCGAGTGAGGAGTCTCTAAGGATAATAACTTCGAAATACCTTTCAACCCTTCATCTAGCTTCTTCCTCTAGCAAAGGTTAAATGTAAGTTTGACACCTTGTTCTATTGCCTGCACTTACCCTCAGGTAATAAAAGAGACAATGAAATATAATAATGGGTCCCCATGCTCCATGGCACCGTATAACATCTATTACACATCTCTCGAAGTTCAAACACACTCTTCCTAGTGATGTTAAATCACTGAACTATATTTAAAAGAAAATAAAAGAAAACATTAGAGTAGACATGTCACTAAGTCTACGGGTTTTTGTACTTGCCTCTGAAGTGGCTGACATCTTCATTAAATACTCCTGCCCAGTCGCTAAGGAACCTGACATTACTTCAGCTATTAATGCATTTTAGACCAGCTGACCCATAACACATTAACTAATTAGATTATACTCCTATAGCTTTTTTAAATCCTCATTACATTATTGGTTAAGAAATAATAGTAAACATAATGACAATAAAAATAATAAAGAGGTAATTTACTGAGTACTCAATATGTACTGGGGACTGTGCAATGGTCTCATAGGAATTATCTAGATTTTTTTTTCTTAAAAAGAAAAACCACTTGAAGAGCACAAAATACCAAATCTTTAAACATATGTGTAAAGTGCAGCCTACTGACACATAGAAATTATTTATATCTTGAATCATACTAACTTTTAAAATGTAAAGCCTACTAAAATGCAGAAATGTTTCTATCATAATTGCATGCATATACTTAAGGAATACTATTCAGTTAACAAAAGAATTAATACTAAGAAACTGAAGAAATAAGCACAAAATATTAATTACTGCAGTTTCTATCATACCTAAGCTTTACCAAAAATTCTCCCAAAAAAATCTTCCATTGCTTTTCTCTTCCTCAGATATGTTTGCAGTCTTTTCTTTTCTCCCTCTTTGGCTCATCATCTTCTAATATCAGGAAACACTTTGAGAATTTCATTGCTTGGTTGCTTGCAAATTGCTCTAAGCTATTCATTCCTTTTCAACCAGTTTAGTGGAGGTTGAACATCTGTATTTCAGGCTGCTGACGAAATATCTATGAAAGGGGCCTCTAAAGAAGTAGTGCAGAGAAAAAAAACTACTGGGAAAGATATGCAATCACTCAAAAAAATGGGTATGTTCCTCTAGAATGCAAAGTGACTCACAAATGGAATGCCTGATTTACCCTCTGAAAGGGGTCTGCACCTGCATAACCGTGACCACTATTCTGGAGAAGCACTGGCTTCAGCAGAAGGCAGACCCATTGATAGCAAGCATCTTTTGAGTCCCCCAGAGCCATGCAGCTCCTCACCCTTACCCTCTGCCGCTGCCATCAGCAATGGAGATTTCTCCGATAAAACAATACAGTAAACACTGATTCTCCCATGGCTATTGATGCTTTCAGAGAGAAAAGACTTTAGATGCAATCTGATTATAAGTACCTATTATTTTAAAACTGTATTTGTGATGTATTGTGATGTGTACTGCCACTGAAACAGCATTCACTGAATGAGCTTCTGTACAGCTGGAAAAAAAAGTTAAGGGAGTATATTTCATGTGTGAATAGCAAACTCTTTAGTATTTTATATTTCAGCTTTTCTCCTGAGATCCAATGTAACAGGGTGATTAATAGGAATTTTGAAAATTCAAAAGTAGGTTGCTTAGTTGCCGATGAAGTAGGATATAAATTTTCCTTACCCATTTAGAACCTTTAACATAATGTGGGTTTGTTACGTGTGTGTGTATCTCTGTATACACACATATCTATATGTGTATCAACAGAACTCAAAATGTAAACCAGTGTAAAGTAGTGTAACTCTAAAATATGGTAAGCGTTTTTGTTCAATTTGTATGTTGGTGTTACACACTACAAATAACATTTCTGTATGTATCACTCAATGAGTATTTTAACCTCAGAGTGAATAATCTACTGATTTTTTAACTCTAGGTTTGTTTTAGTATCTTCAATTATGAAACAAATTCTCTTTTATGACATTGAGAAGAGGCAAGAAAGAGTAAGAAAGAAATTAAAACAAACAATGGATAACTAATAGTGTTAAATGGAATACTAAGGCTGTTATGGTATGGAACGGAATGGCATTATGCCTCTGTGGAATACCAATACCGTTGAGTAATTGAAAATTTCTTTTTTTTTTTTTTTTGAGACGGAATCTCGCTCTGTCGCCCAGGCTGGAGTGCAGTCGCCAGATCTCAGCTCACTGCAAGCTCCGCCTCCCGGGTTCACGCCATTCTCCTGCCTCAGCCTCCCGAGTAGCTGGGACTACAGGCGCCCACAACCGCGCCCTATTTTTAGTAGAGACGGGGTTTCACCGTGGTCTCGATCTCCTGACCTTGTGATCCGACCGCCTCAGCCTCCCAAAGTGCTGGGATTACAGGCTTGAGCCACCGCGCCCGGCCAATTGAAAATTTCTAAATCTCCCCAGTATACCAGTCCCACTACCGAGTCCTTGTGAAAATGCTTCCTTTCTTTGTAGTCCTAGTATTTACAGGAGTTTCAATAAGCCTTCTCTATTATAAAGTGGCAAAGAGATCCCTTTTCAAAAGTCCTATATTAAAATGTTCTCCTACATTAAAATATCAGAAAATTCCTAGTCTTTTGGTGCTTCAGTTAAAATGGATCAAAGGTGAAGGACAGAAGGAACTTTGCACAGTACAATAGTGAAACTGCTATCCCTTGATTCTTAACAGTTTCTGGACAAAATAATCATAGGCTTGTACTCAAGCAGAACAAGGGCCCCTTCATTTCTACGTTTATGGTCTTGCAATCTTGAGATCTTTCTCAGCCTCCATGGTCTCTTCTGGAAAACAGGCAATCTGAGAGTATTCTAAACCTGCAATCCGAGAGTATTCTAAACACAGAATGACACTCAAATATAAAACACTGACATCCAGATATATTAATGTTGCTGACACAGAACTCTAATATTTGTTTTTAATACAAAATAACAAAAGTCAAAAGGAGCTCTAAATGATGAAAGAAAACACTTTCAAATAGAAAAAAAAAATGTTAAATGCCCAGTTACCATCTTTGTTTATTCTACATACTTCTCAAAGTAAAACACACATTCAGTTGTTTATTTTCCCTCTGAGTGTGAAGAGGATACATGACAGAGATAATCTAATCTAAAAGTTTAAATAATCAGGAATGACTGAAACATTCTGTAAAAGAGAGAGAATGATTAGACCTGAACTGTTGGATATAAAACATCTTATAAATCTACTATACTTCCGAAAGAATATGTTACAGATACTACTGATAAAACAAAAATAACAGAGAGACTAGTATGTACCTGAATTTAGTTCATGTGATTAACGTGACAAGAAAATCATCAATTTGCTAATGAAAAATCTGCTTGAGAGACAACATAGTTATATTTCTACCTCTCCTCACATATAAAAATATACTTTCTATACAATAGGTCAATAACACATTAAAATATAAAGAAAAAAATAGGTAAATAATTACCTAATATATTTTTCTAAGTATTATGGCATAAGAAACAACAATAAAGGAAATAAGATAGCTCTACTACACACAAGTTTTTAATTGTTTTTAAAAAGGTAACAAAATGTAGGTACAAAACTTCAGAAAATATCACAATATATGACTAGGTGCTATATATATTGAGATGGTTACAATTCAGTAAAAATCTAAAAATACTACAAGCAAAATAACACAAATCATGAATGAAATATTCTTAAAGTTAAAATATCAAATACTAACATGCTAACATATGTGAAAATAATTGGGGAAATGGATACCTCTTTATTTCTGTTTGGAGGTTAATCAATGTGATGGTCTACAGGTGAATGTGTTGATACAAACCGAAAGGCTTTAAAATCTTCCTGCTTTGTAAGTCAGTAATTCCACTTTCAAATATTTGTTTACACGTAATAATCAGAGATGCCCATAGAATGTATTCATTGCATAATATCTTAAAATGGTGACAACTTAAATATGCAGCATTAGGAGATTATAAACCTCTAAATCCAATATAATTTCAAACCTGCTAACAATGTCAGCAATTAATACTGATGTTCTTCAAATGGCAGAAAAGCAAATACTTTTTTCTTTTTTTTTTTTCTTTTCCATATTTTACTAACCTACTGTAAACCTATACTACTTATACAGTAAGGGAAATGGTTGTAACTTATGTTAAACAGAAGTGGTGGATGACAGACAAGAAACAGTAACTTAGCTTGTACTCATAGAATACACAGGAGAGTGGAGGGTTGCATGGGGACTTGAATGCCTAACTAGGGAATTTCTACATCATTGAGTAGGCAGTGGGGAACCGTCGAAAATCTTTGAGCATGGAATTCACAGAGTCATTTTGGCAGTTGTGTACATGGCTAAGTGCACGACTTTGAATCTAGTTACGAAGAGGCCAATTGTGAGAGTTCAGGGACCTTCAGAATGTAACATCAGGAATTTCAAGATAATCAGATACACTTAATAAGTAGCTCTTATATTACATATTAAAAGTAAGGCCTTGCTGTCAACTGCCATAAGATGCAGCAATATTCTAAGCTTTGTATTCCTTTCTCAGTGATATCTTGAAAAGAACAGGCATGGAGTTCATGAGATTCATATGAAGAACCAACTGACAGCACCACATCCACAATCTGGGTCCTGGAGTTTTAAGCATATCGTGTTGCTTTTAGGCTAGATTTAACTGTGAGGATAATAAGAAACGTGAGTATCTCTGTTACTTCTAACTAGCTGGTCTATGCATTGCACTGTTGGAAACTCAAATATTTCAGAAATATATGGCAAAATAATAAATTCACATGGATTTTTAAAGGGCTCTTAGACATGTAGAGCATTGTCAGGTTAGCTATATCAATGATAGGGGGTGTCATGGCATTTCTGCGCCCGCCCACCCAAGTCTTTGGAGTTATTTTCCTTCCCAATTACAACATAGGTTTCAACGTGTGGCTATAAACCAATTTCAACCTTGCCTAATGCAACCGTTTACAAATGCTCTCCCTAGATGACTAAACATATAAATCATATCTTGTTATACAATAATTTGTAACAGTACAATACAATAACAAACATTATTGTTTGTTTGGTTGGTTGGTTTTTTGAGATGGAGTCTCGCTCTGTCGCCCAGGCTGGAGCACAGTGGTGCGATCTCGGCTCACTGCAAGCTCTGCCTCCCGGGTTCACGCTATTCTCCTGCCTTAGTCTCCCGAGTAGCTGGGACTACAGGCGCCCGCCACCACGCCTGGCTAATTTTTTGTGTTTTTTTTTTAGTAGAGATGGGGTTTCACCGTGTTAGCCAGGATGATCTCCGTCTCCTCGGCCTCCCAAAGTGCTGGGATTACAGGCGTGAGCCACAGCGCCAGGTCAATAAAATGGTTTTAACCTGTAGGATACCCCTCTTTCTATAAGATAATCCTTTATCTCACTTGTAAATCAGTTCCACATCACTGAAATAAAAACCATTTCCTGTTCCCTAAAATGTTTTTTGGTATATTTCCTTTACAGGATCATCGCACTCTGGAACTCAAATCTTCTCCCTTGGCTAACACTGCTACATCTAGTCTGCAGTCACATATCGTGTCACTAACACTCTTTCAAGATGGACACTTCTTGGCCTTGGAGTTTCTGTTTCATTCATTCCGTATTTTATGTCTCTTTTTCATAGTTGGATCACGAACTGATTGGGAAAAAAGATGATGTAAAATTGCCTATACTTTTTGGCTAAAGAACAAAAATATAGAGGATTGTAATATTTTTGTTCTAAGAATAAAATCAGATAACATGAAAAGCTTTTCTTACTCTGTCTGTAATTTAGTAAACTAAAATAATGCTATGAAGCAAAGAAACTCTCAACTTTAGAAATAAAAACATAAGGATCAGAACATTTTATGTTAGCCCATAAAACACCATATTCTTTGGCTACTGGTTTTGAGACTCACACTCTAGATTACTGGAAAAGAAGCGGTTATTGATAGGGAAGTCCTGAAATAAATTATCTGGGTACCCAGAGATGAAGTGAGCATATGTATTAACTATTATAAAACTTGCCTATTTGTGAAATAAATTTATACTTTTTTTCTTTATTCAATTTAGGAAAAAGACATGATGTTTATGAGTGAGAGGAGAAATGATGCAGCATCTTTTTAAAACTGTTATGAAACACTTTCGTGTGTGTGTGTGTTTTTGACTAAGCTGCTTTTCACTTTCTTCTTGGCCATTAAATTTATACATGTCTGAAGAATAATATTTAGTAAATTCCAAAGCTTAAATTTTGATAATTGCTTAAATGTGTAATACAATAATAGGCAAAGATCAATGTATTTAAATATAGCAGATACATAATATTTAATGATCTACATAAGTAAAGCTAGTAATCTCAAGAATACATATATGTTTTTATACATTATAGGATAGAGAAATATATCTAAGAAATATACATATGTTTATAATTCTATATCTATATATTAGTTTATAGTGTAGGAAAGAAATTTTGAAGGGACTCTGAGTCAGCTAGAAATTTGGTCAATACTCACATGGCCGGCCACTAAGTTGAGGATACCCATTGAATGGGTCATCCAACTTTTCAAATCTATTCATTAGTAAAATAAAAATACTGATGTTAGAATTAAGGGACATTAAATAAATAAAGTGTCTCCCATGTAAAAGGGAGTCAAAAAAGGTATCCTTGCTTATTTCAGAGTGATTGTGAGGATTAAATTGGATAACTTTAAAACTCTTGGGGCTCTGCTCTATCTATGTTTGCTATTTACCAATTTATTCATTTATCCATCCTAGGCATTTTAAGTACTTACTATGTGCTAGATATATGTAACTATTCCATGTTAAAAGAGTTAAGTGTTCCATATAAAATTCAAGATAAATGTAAGATATTCAATGTTATCTTAAGCTTAACTATATTTCTGGACTTGTTCTGTATTTAATGTAGCAAAGGATTATATCATCTTTAATTGAAAAGCAGCAGGTTAATCATCAGTTGTGATTTCATATTTCATGGTGAAACTTAATTTGGCCCTACCACAATTCTAATTTTAATATGGTATTGATGACAGCAGCAGCAGCCCATCTGGAGCAGCCACTGTGAATATGCTGGCTGCAGCGGAGGAGGTGAGGCCAGGGTTTTGCACTCCACGGAGCTGATGGGAACTGGGAACAGGCAGGAGACCGCCCTCCCAGGCACAGCTGCAGCCACCCAGCCATGGCTGCTGATTGGGCATCCCTGTGCTCCTGGGCCTGAGAAATCCCTCTGCCTCTGTAGGCTCAGAAGTGCCTGCTCCCACTGCCCGGCCTCCCCCTGGCCTCTCCCTGCTCCTGGCCTCTTCTCCAATTTTGGAACAAAATTGAGGCTGAGCTCCGGAGCTGTTGCAAACCAGCCCTGTGTGTGGGCACTCACAATGGTGTTAACATGCCAGCACACTGCGGCCTTGGCCCCCTGTGGAATTTGGGTGTCAAGGAGCATGGGAGGGAGGCCGAGGTGGGGCTGAGGATGTCTGCATGTGGTCTGCAGGTGCTCCTTGGCATGAACAGCCGGGTCACCATGGACATGATTGATGGTGGCAGACAGGCTCCTTGGTGGAAAGGGGCGGATCCCCAGTGAAGCTGCTCCTTCAAGCCCATGTCAGCCTGAAGCAAGGGGCTGGGCTGTCACTTCCAGGTGGAGTAGGCGGCCCCAAGTGAGATCTTATGGTGCTTTTTATGGGCCTGCCCATGGCCACCCATGGGCCAATCAACATGCATATCCTCTCTTCTAAAGTCCATAAAAACCCAGAATTCAGCCAGAGTCACAGAGATATTGGGACAACCTCCCTGCAAATAGGAGCTACCACTCTGGGCCTCCTCTCCACTGAGGGGGCTATGGACATCAGAACGATCTGCCTGTGGAAAGGCACTACTCCCTGCAAGTCTCCTCTCTGCTGACAGCTGGACACTCACTGGAAGGACCTGCCTGCAGAAAGGAGCTACCCACTTTGGGTCTCCTGAGAGCTGTTCTGTTGCTCAGAGAAGCTCCTCTCCACCTTGCTCACCCTCCAGTAGTCCACATACCTCATTCTTCCTGGACATGAGACAGAACTCAGGACCTGAACTGAGACCTGCCAAGTGGCGGGACTGAAAGAGCTGTAATACAAACAGGGCTGAAATGCCCCCATGATCACCATGTTGCAGGCAACAAGAAGGAGAGAAGAGATACAGCCCTTGGAGAGGCCTATATCTAGGGGCTCCCCAAGCCAGGGCTGTGACACCCTCTTAGGGGCTCTGTGGTTCCTGGTGTTTCCAAGCTTCTGGGTGCATTCCCCTTGTCCAGACATGGGTGGCCACAGTGGAAGCTTCATGCAGTACATCTGCTCCAGTGACAGCCTTGCACAGAGCCAGCACCTGTGCCAGCACCTGGAGCTGCTGTCCTGCCACAGCAGCCAGAATGCCTGGCTATGCACAGTGACCAGACCCTGTGCTCACTTGCCCACACACCCCTCACTGCTCCACGCCTGGCTCACCCTTGGCAGCTATGGAATCTGGACTGGTAGCACAAGCCAAGCACAGCCTGCCAGGCCGAGCGAATGGAACAAGCCCAGCAGGCATAAGCAATACTTAGGCAGAAGGTGTGGTCTGCCACAGAGGTTTCTGGCTGGCAAATTGATATGCCAAGGATCCCATGCCAGTATAGTATGGGTAATGCAGTCCAGATTCAGGATATTTATCTTTTAAGAATAATTAAGATAGCTAAATGGTGCGTGCAGATTGTTTGCTAGTACCTGATAACATAGTGATACAGAACTGAAGACTATGCATATACTAAATAACGTAAAATGTGTTAAATTGTGACAGTTAATGGGAATGAGGTAGATACATTCAAAAATTCATGACAAAGCAATAAACAACTTGTTTGATCCATTTCAAGGTAGAAAATAGCATCTAAGGTCAATAATAATATCAGTGTTTAGAGGAAAAACTAATTTCCATTTGTATCATTAGTATTGCATGGCATATAGCCTGATCCAAATACTTATTACAGTAATAAAGATTAATCCACAAAAATATAGCAGAGACTAATTAAATTCACACACATGAATGTAAAAATCACCATTTTTAATCAAATAATTCTACAATTTTAATTACAGTGGGTACTACATTTAATAACTAGGGTGAGGGTAAGTTGAACATTTTAATAAATTTTAATAAGCATACATTAATTATACTGCAATGAATGCATATTTGAGGGAATATGCAGTTTTCCATTTTAATAATGTTAGAATGACATTGTAATATGGACCCATAGAGCAACAACTATTGATTAGGCCACCAAAATATTTAAGCATGATTTTAACAGTTTGGCTCAATACCCTGATTACCATGTCATATTCAGTCAATTTTGGTCAAAATCATGTGGACTACTTGAAGTGATATAAGTAGTCTCAACACAGTATCTGGAAAACAGATGTGTAAACTAAAATATAAATGTACATATTTTATAAATTGTCTTTCAGTGACACCTAACCCACTTTAGACACTCACAAATTTGAAATTTTTAAAGAGGTAATGGAGATTACTCATGTATCATAAGGAAAAAAGAAAAGGTGATCTTTAGCTTGTTGAAACTGGGTTCTCCACCTTTGCCACTTTTTCACCTTCCTCTACCCTTCCTCACCCTCTCCCTACTTTATGTTCAGACCCTAACATTGTTTTTACCAGTTAGGATCTTGATTTATTTTGAAATTCTAGTGTGCCAATGAGTATGAAAATGATTAAATTCATTTCCCTAAGTCAGTCAATAATGTAGCCTAATCACGTAGTTTGGCATATTTCATTCTTTAAATGCATCTGTCTTCAATTGGTTTGCTTATAGAATCAGTCCAGATCCAAACATCTTTCCTATTCATAAGCACAAATAAACCCTCACTTACGATTTTTAAAAAGGTTTCTCTAAAATTGTGTTTAATGCTTCCTAACCTGTAATCAATATTTATGCTAACTATTTGAATGAAAATCTCTATAAAAGTTTAGTATTTAGCATTATAATGACATGAGAATTATTTCAAAAACGTTATCTCCAGTAAGACTAAATTGATTTTCAAGCTATTTTTGAAATAGTAAAATATTTTATTTTCAATCAAAATATTTCTTTGGGTTAATTTTTAAAAGCTGGGTCAAATATTTGTTATATTTATTCTCTTTTTAATTTTAGGACAAGCTATTTTTCATCTTGAAGCTTTGTTTATTTTTTAATTTATGAGATGAAAAATCACAACATATATGATGAATCTCTGGGCAAAGGATAATATGCCTCTTGAAGTGCATTATATAATATTGTTATTTTTAACCATAACAAGTGACCACTTACTATGTACATAACACTTACTTTGTGTACTAAATTTCTGTAATATTTTAGAGAAATACATGGATTCTTGGTTTCAAGGGCTTGATAATTTGATTGCGGAGCCTTTGCACATGCAAATGGAATAATTTAATAATCAATAGACTAACAAAGCAACATCTAAGCAAGCTTACATTTTTTTAGAAGTCCTCATAATCTAGGTTTAAGCTAATCATATGGAAAACTGCTATGCAAAAGAGTTCATATACATAAAATTTAAAAAAAAATTTTAAAAAAGAGATACGGCCGGGCACAGTGGCTCACGCCTGTAATCTCAGCACTTTGGGAGGCCGTAGCAGGTGGATCATGAAGTCAGGAGTTCAAGACCAGCCTGGTCAACACGGTGAAACCCCATCTCTACTAAAATATAAAAAATTAGCCGGGCGTGGCAGCATAAGCCGTAGTCCCAGCTACTTGGGAGGTTGAGGCAGGAGAGTTGCTTGAACCCGGTAGGCGGAGGTTGCAGTGAGTTAAGATCGTGCCACTACACTCCAGCCTGGGCGACAGAAACTCCACTCCGTCTCAAAAAATAAAAATAAAATAGAAGGGACATTACAGAAAAGACATAACTACATGAGGGATCTGTGTGACTTTTATTGTGTGATTCTTAATGATGGATGATTATCAAAGACTTCCTATGCATCAAGCATTATACACATAATATTTATAATCTCACAGCAGTTTTACAAGGTTGGTGTGATCCTTCTTTCTCAGATAAGGAAACAGAAATTCCTTGAATCTAGGTAACATAATTCACTGAGGAAATGGCCAAGCTTTGATTTATATATGTCTGTTTATCTCTCTGACTCTAGGCTAATGTTTTGTTTTTATATCATCTACCCATAAAACTTTCTCACCCAATGCAGTCCATTTTATCCTATTACCCTGTTTCATACTGTAATGGTCACTATGTGAAATTATACAAATTAATTGTTCACAGGATTATAGGCTTATCCATTAGAATGCAAATTCCATGAGGCCAATGCCTTCTGTACTCCTAGCATTTAGAACATAGTGACTACTCAATGCATATGACTGACTGAATAAAAAAACAGCTTGATCTAATAGAATCTCATGCCTCTTTCCTTACATGGCATGTAGTTGTTTCAGATGGGTTCTTGAAAAAATATTTCTTTAACCAAAATGAGTTAAGATTCTAATTCTATGTGCATATATATGTTTATTAAAATATTTTCTAATCACTTTTTGTAAAATAAGCATAACAGATCAAATTAAGTACTTAAACCTGGTACACAAAATGAGACAAGTAATGAGTTCAGCAAAATGTACAATTAAGATACAGTCATTATCATTCTGAGATATTAACCCATGCATAGTTTCTATCTTATTCTTTTAGACAAGTGATCCCTCAAGCTATGTCAAATTTTACGCGAACACACAAACAAACATACTTGTTTTCAGCATAGGTGAGCATGAGGCCAAAGGGGTCGTTCTTAGGTTGTACTATGTACTAGTCTATACTAGGTCTAAAAAATAAACACCAGACAAGTAATGATTCATCATAAACATAATTATTATGTTCCTAACCCTATTACCAAAGTTATAAAGGGAATATTAGAGAAATTTCAAATTCACTGTTATATTACTTATTTTTAATTAACCATTGTAAAATTGACAATTTTCTTTTGCCACTCATTCTTCTAAAGACATATTTTCTTAGTTACTTAAGTGGAAGCGGAATAGTTACTGGAAATTAGCAAGTCAAGTCTTATTTTTGAGTGGCTTTGATAAGAACAGTGGAACCGAAGACAAAATGTAAATGTAATTAATAGCTACAAAAAAGTGAGATTATTATGTAACTTTCACTTCTGTAGGCTAATTAAGCCTCCTATGCCAACATTTTCATTTATTTTAATAAAGTTATTCATTTCATATAATTAATAGTGCTATTACCCTGGCCTGGAACTAATTTTAGAAAATTCACACAAAAGTTTAAATCTATTTTATTTATCCAGTCATTAGTTATGTCATGTCACTATCCTCACCTTATCAATAAGCACATTAGCTTTATATGCATTTTTAACAGTGCAATTTGCTATCAGAATAATGCCAGTTAGAGTATACCTGTGTCATTTTCTGCACTTGAGTTCTGACTGACTTTGATTAGAGCCAGGCTCCAACTTTCACATGTGCTTCTGCTCAATACTCCTTACAATGCCATGTTTACAATTACTGTTATTAATACCATTTCCATCATCATTATTTTCTTTATCTCTATTATTAAACTGACTCTGAACGTTTATTCTCGCTAGGCAGGGCATTTGATACGTTATATGTATTTGCCTTCCAAGAAGTAGATTTATGACACAATTATTAGATTGCCACTTAATATGTGAAGAAACACATTTGTCCAAGGAAACATTGGTACTGTGTGGTGCCTATGATGAGCAGCAGAACTCTTATCCTGAAGAGATACATTCCACTATAACTCTCCCTGTACATTATTCTCTTTCACTCTCTGCATCGTTAATCTTGCATGGAAGAAATTCTCATTTGCACTGGGTCTTCTGTGCCTAATAGAACATATTAACTAATTAAGGTGCTATCAAAGAATTAAAAGAATATGTGAAGCTACACATTTTCAAACTTAAAAAATAATGGATATCATTTTCTTTCTTCCTTTCTTCCTTTCTCTCTTTCTCTCTTTTTCCCTCCCTCCTTCCCTCCCTCCCTCCTTCCCTGACTTTCTTCTTTTCTCCTTTCCTTTCTGGACAGGGTCTCTTTCTGTCACCCAGACTGGAGTACAGTTGAACAATCGTGGTTCACTGAAGCCTCGACCTCCCCAGGCTCCAGTAATCCTCACAACTGAGCTTCCCAAGTAGCTGGGACTACAGGTATGTGTTACCACACCTGGCTAATTTTTTGTTATTTTTTGTAGAGATGGAGTTTCTCCATGTTGCCCAGGCTGGTATCATTTTTTTTTATCACTTGATTAAAATGCAAAAATGTCTTTTGCAAGATAATGTCATGTATCTATTTGGGCCTCCTTTTCCTTGTAACTTTAGCCCAATCTCAGTATCATATTTGACTTTTCAGTTAAAATCATATCACTGACCTTGGTGGAATCTTATTTCCTACTTTTAAACTTGAATTCCTTATTAATATTCTGCCTTTAGGTTGAAACTTTATTGGATTTAATTTCAAATTCACAGTATAATACAGTACTGAGTTAAAAAGTATAGTGGGAGAGTAGATTAAATAGACCTCTAATCTTAATTATATACATATAACTGTACTCAAAACAAAAACCCACACAAAATATTTCTGACTATGTATCTTCTGCATTTGTCCCTAGAAAAGGGCAAAGAAAAATATTTAATACATTCACAATGCAGGTGATTTCCAGTGGTCCATGTCTTCTAACATCAACTACAACATTGTCAGCTGTAAGAAATATTCCCCCCCAAATTGCGAGTAATATAATGACTGTTCCTCTCGTCATTAATAATTACTTTTTTCCCCATATGGTAACAGAAAAAAAAAAACAACTTACATTAGTTTATTCATTGCCAAATCATGTTTTTTTTTTTGTTGTTTGTTTTGTTTTCTGATATAGGAAACACCAAAACTTTGCCCATCAAACATTTGGATTACACTGAGAAATGCAATCACTGAGGTGGGCAATAAAATGTACTTCTTTTACCGGCTAGAGCTAACTAAAAGTCAAGGTGTTCACTTTGGTGCATCACAGATAATAATGCTGCCTACAATACATGCCAAGTCTTATTTACTCACTTTTTTGACTCAAATTAGAGGGCATAACATAGCTTCATTATAACTCAGCAGAAAAATCTGAGTTCATTCTGTTTAAATCATAACAACTGGTTAATTCTATATTTTAAAAAGGCAGACAAAACCATGAATTGATTATATTGTAATTTATGATTCCCTGGACTGGAGCTCTGTTTTTCAACCTTTTTTTGAATGTCTCTTCTAAGAAGCCTTTTAAGACATTTTTTCTTAATTGTGAAATCCATTAATACCACAGATAAAGTGTCTATCTGTTTATATAATATATGTAAATCTGTGCTTTATACATGGAAAGAATAAGAATATTTTAATCTCCCCCAGGAATCAATGTTAGCCTCTTTGGGGTTTATATATCTCCACTGAGACTATGTGAAATAGACAAAGCTCAAAGTTTCAGATTGTAGAAAAAAACATTTTCACTTACTTTCAATGAGGCATCTGCCAGTTTATATAGTTTAATGTACTCTTACAGTTTTTGTAACAGAAATAATTTTAAATAAATGGAATGAGACAAATGAAGCAGAGCAGATAAACATTTTTTTCTAAACACTTTTACAGCAACATATTGCATACTCTATAAGGCAAAGTACTGATGTATGTAAAATTTCAACGATGTTTACAAATAAAGAGTTTTACATCAACTCCAGAACTGTGCAACAGTCCTCTATGTAACAGTCCTTTCCATGCAGTCTAACTTTGTAAACTAAAATCTGTAAAAGATGAGAGGAGATAAATGTATAAAGTACATAAGAAATGTGTCCCTGTATCAGAAAATTTTGTGCTAGATAAAGACAAAAGGAGAATATTGCCTGTATTTTTTTTTTACTTTTTATCTGTCAGACTGGCATTATGCAGGAATTGCTTTAGTTTTGCGTATATTTGGTGTCCTTACACTCATCCATCTGTGTCAGCTCCTATTCATTGTTATCTCATTGTCTTTGTCAATACTTTTTATTGTGTGCTTTGTTTCGTACAGATAGAATTTAAACTAGAGAAAAATAATAGTACATGGCAGGGGTTAATTTCAACTGATTTGGATTGACCACATGCTAATCTCCCAATGCTATAGAATCCATTAACTATAGATAAATGATAATCTGTAATCATAAGTCATGGAGTAGGATGTATCAGGTTGTCAGTATTGTTTAGTAATAATAATTGGATTTATAATTTGCATCTGGTTTTGGTGAAGCCTGGGTGGGGTTTCAAGGCTAATGCTGGCCACATACCTTTGTGAACAGCAGGCCTTGCACCTTGAGGCAACTTTGGGCTTCCTGATATAGGGATGCTTTGCATGTATGCTGTGGTGGTTGAAGACAATGCATGTTCTGTGCAACCCATTCAGGAGCAGAAGGATGAAAGAGCTTTCT